GTGCGCCAGGCGCGTCGCAGCGTAACAGTGTTTCGTGAGATATCGCGAAGCCTGTTACGCGAGACGTGGTCTGGCGTACATATAGCTAGTAAAATTATTGCTGAGCTTAACTTGAACTTGAAATTAAACTTTAACTTTAAATGCTCAGCTCTGTCAGGAAGCGCAAGGGGAGACCGCCCGGAAGAGGGCGTGAAGTGAGGCGCCTGGCGTGAGACGTGGAATGTGAGGTGGACAGGCATGCCAACCAAAATCGCGAAAACATTTTAATTTTAGCGCACCGCAGGCCAAGGTAGACGCACATTTAGCTCAGCTTCACACGGTTTTAACGCGCGTCTACCTTGTATACAAGGTATTACTTGGTTGTGTGGTAAACCCTACACTGCAATTGATTTTGGTATTCATGTTGTGGACAAAATAACATGTAACCTCCGCAACGGCTATTTAGTTCGTCATAAAATGCTGCCTTGGTTGATGTGGTCGGCGGTAGGGATGATGTGGGAGGGTGACCCAGGTGGGTAGTACTCGCCCGCTGCGCCTCTTTGCACAACGCGGGAATTGGCGCATAAACGTCGGCGCCTCTGGCTGGCTGCGCTACATGTGACATACATTCCGTGACATTGCGAGTACTGCGCACGTAGCGCGGCGGGGCGCGGTGGGGAGTGGCGGGGTGAGGCGGTATCATGTGCATCACCAGGCCAGTCATGCGCGGCCGTCTCCAGGGCCCGGGCGCCGCCGCCGTCGGGGACCCCTCCCCCGGGGGGTGGCGGGCCGGGCAGGGCAGGGCCCCGAGACCAACACCTGACTGCGAATACAAGTCCCGGCACTATTATTCACTTTGCGTCCATTACATTACCCCCCCCTCCCTGGGCCGGCGTTGTCGCCCCTCACGGTATGATCGCCTCCCTCCTCCTCCTCCTTGCCGCTCTGCCCTGGGGGCGCTCCCCCCGCCCCTCCAGTCCGTCCCGCGCAACTTAACGAGATTGTGGCACCGCGACAGGCCTGCCGCACTGTCACATGTGTACGTAGTAGCGCAGGCATCCCTATCGTCGTAATTACTGTTGTTCTAATAAAAGTACATATATTTTCTTCTTCAAAAATAAAAAAATAAAAAAACAGAAAAAAAAGATATTCTAGACCGATGCGAATATATATTTTTTTAAGTGTAGGGAGTCTCTTCTCTGTTTTCGCCAATTCGGTGGTAATGAGGCGTCCCTTATTGTGCTATCTGCTGGGACGGACGGAGCGAGGAGGGGGGCGGGGCGAGGGGCAGGACGGCCCGGCACTGCAGCCAACTTTATACCCGTTTATTGTTTGGCCCCCGCGGCCTCGCCGTGCCGGGCCATACTGCCGCCGTGCTGTGTGTTGTTTCCATATTTCTTTCCATCGATCGAACGCAAAACTGCTCCGAAAAGGAGAAGAAGATGAGATATAAACAGAGAGACGTAGGGGTTAGGGCTCCGAAAGAAGGGGGGAAAAGGAGACGGCCGGGCCGGGTGTACTTGCCGTGGACGGCTGAGAAAGCTGGTGCTCGGGAAAATATATATGTATAAACAACGTAACTTTGACAGCTTGCGCCACGCGACGCCACGCGTCCGAATGGAGCAGGCGCACCCCTCACCCCC